CTATCCTCATTAAAAACCCTCACATGTCATTTTTGTGCCAAATTCGTTTTGAAGACAGAAAATAGTTTATTAATGGAGATATCAAAACCGTGTATGTTATAAAAATGTTGGAATAGCTAAACTCTAATTGTTCATATTAAATTAAAGCAATATCACAAAATGCAACCTTCGAGGCCAATCATAATGAAAATAATTCAATTAACTAGAAACAATATGATACAAACAACACGTCTCTTCAGCTTAGAATATTCATATGCAATAAGAACTATATATATATATTATCTTTTTCTTATAAACAATTACACATAAAACGAGCTACATGGAGAACTAGATTTCTAAAATAACTCCCAAGAAAATCTGATGGGATCTAAATTTCTGCAGGAAGAGTGGGAGAGTGCACATACGTGTAAATATACATATATACGAAAATATATATATATATATATTGATATACATACATACATATACATGTGTGCGTATAAATATATAACCTCCAGAAAATCTGTACGTAGCAGAAGATATTAGGGAACCGAAAGATTTGTATCTGATTTTAAGCACATTTTTGGAGCTGTGCATCTATATATCTATATCTATATATATATATATATTATATCCCGTACACCCATGCTTAGGGAAATCATAGCAAGTGTGAAGGAACGAGAAAAATTAAAAATGGCCCACTATTATAATTAGAAGAGAAGAGTAGAAAAACACAATTATATATGTTTGAAAGCATGCACTGAAAGAGTTCTGTTGGCGTGATTCTCAATCATCAATGAGCCTCTCTCACTCTCTCTCTCCATGCAATCAATCCAAACACCAACCAAAACCCACCATCGCTTTTATAGCGAACTGTACGACCCAGAAGTTACCAACCAATTTATTATATACACACAATAAAAATAATTCTATGTTCTCTGTTTTTTTTGTTTTTTTTGTCTCTTTTTCAGTGTTGTATTTTAGTCTTAATTAATGTGAAAAGCGCCTAGCATAATTAAGAAGAAGATAGAAGAGTTTAGAAGCAGAAAAATAGCATCCAGGCTTGCGATGTTGGTCCTATATTTTATATTTGTGTTGTTTTATGAGATGTTTAGTTTATGGATTAGAATCATGTGATTAAAATTATTTTTTATTTATGTGTATTTTTTGTGAGAAATAGCGAATCATAAATCATAATTAAAATCATAGTTTGAATCCTCAAATCAAACATCTCCTTAGTTTCTATACTCTATCCTTTTTTCTTTTTTGACGCATTTAATTCCTCAAACGTAACTTTTTTGTAGCACGTTGGCCCTTTTTTCCATTTCCATCCAATTTTCCAGTAATCACAAATTGGTCCTCAATATTTTTTCCTTGGCATTTAAATCACCAACATCCCATTCCGTTGCAATCTCATTTTTAGACAGTACATAGCCAATGCATTGGTCAATGTCAATGTTATATTTGACCAAAAAAAAAAAAGTAAAACATTGTAACATTTTGACATAGATTATATTTTGTGATCCAATAACTAATGATACTTCAAAATTCAAATGCCGTATCTAACACTTTTACTTACTTATTTTAAGTTGTTGAATTTATAATATATATATAGAAATTAATTTTAAAACAAAAATGAAGATGTTGTAATTATTAGAAGTGAAAAAGTTCAACACATTAATAACTAGGGAGAAAGAGCAAAATATGCCAAGACTTGAAATGAATTAAAATTAATAGGCTAATAGTTTACATAAGTTAATAAATAGGCCAAATTACTGTTTACGTCCATAACTTGTCTGGTTATGAACCATAACTTGACAAATTATTGTCCATAATTCATTATTTTTGTCCATAACTTGTCTGATTATGAACCATAACTTGACAAGTTTGTCCATAACTTATCTGGTTATGAACCATAACTTGACAAGTTATGGCCTATTAATTTCTATAACTAAAAATTGACCTATATACTTCCTTAAGCTTTTCATATTGACTTATTTTCTACTATTTCCGTAATAACTAATAAACAATTATATACAAGAAAAATTTAGCTAATATACTTGGTGCTAAATTTTGCATCAATTCTACTATATGGCAACTTTGATATTAGACATCATTGTATAGCTAGGGCCTAGGAGAGTGTTTCTTAAAAAAAAAAAAAAATCCAAAATCCACCATTAGCATTGTACGACCACCATTAAGAGACCATGTGCACAACTTTGATACTCTTTCAAGAATAACTAGTGGAAATATTCTCTCCTCATCAAAGAGATTAATTGCCTTACAAAATGGCCGAATCTAAAGTTCAATGGCATCTAATAATGCTAGTGGACGAATAAAAGAGAGAAGGATATGCTGCATATTTTAATGTGTGGATTTTTTTTTTTCGTTTAATAATGTCAAGAATATCGATTCTAATTTTTAACTCTTATATATTGTGAAATGTGAGTAGTTATCTTCATATTGGTGTATATTTAAAATATTATCATGTCAATTAATGATAAGAGGTTACGTTATGGCTTATTTAACTCCCCACGTATGTGTCATAACGATGTAAGTGGGTGAAATTGCAATGAAAAGGGGAGATCGGAAATTTAAATGAAAAAACAAACGGTTAACAATACAAATAAAGGTTGGGGATCATAGTGCAAATAAGCTTTTTATTTTTATTTTCATAAAAATACTCCTTGTTGAGGGTGCACATGCAGAAAACAGGTGATGGCTTAACTATAAAATTGGAAGGAAAATGAGAAAAAAGGACTTACATGCTACAAAATAATAACATTGAGGCATGAATGCAATAGAAAACATAAATAGGAACCTAAGTGCATCACGAGTATAACGTTAGGAGATAAGGATTAGCTGTGAATGTATGTGCGTTATTTTGCTAGCATCCCACGTTACCCGTAAAATGGGAGTCACGACCACCATACGTGGTGTCTTATAAAAGTGGGTGGAATTGCAATGAAAACGGGACGTTAAGAATCTAAATGCAAGAAAAAAAAGTTTAGGACCAATTTGCAACACAGATAAAAGGTTAGGGACTGTGTTCAAATGTTCTCTGTTCATTTTTATCAAAATGCCCTTCGTTAAGATGCAGTGCAAATAAAAAAGGTGATGTCCCTTCAATTTAAAAAAAAAAAAAAAGAAGGTGATGGCTTAACTATGAAATTGGAAGGAAAATGGGAAAAAAGGAATAATGGGTTGCAAAAAAAAAAAAAGTAAATTAATTTGCAGAAAAATTGTATTAGAGATGATTGGTAAATATTTACTGCTATAAATTCTCCAAAAAGAATTGAAAAAAAAAAAAAACTTTTTTCTTTTTGTTGAGAAAGAAATTAGAAAAAAAAAACCTTGAAAGATACGAATTTAGGACTGTAACGGAAACAAGAAGCTTACGGCGGGAAAAAGAAAGGGAAAGCATAAACACCAAAGCAAAACCTTGAGAAAGCAATCTCTCTCTCTCTCTCTCCTATTTCTCTCTCTCTTTCTTCCGTCTCTGTGTCTCTCTATCATCTGTTGGTGTATAAGAGCTAGAAAGGAGACACAAAACTCTCGTATAAACAGTAAAACATCTTCTCTCTTTCTTTCTATATAACTTCACTTGGGGAATATTTTTGGCAATAAGAAGATCATTGAATATAAAGAACTGGGAATCTCTTGAAGCCTCTGATCATATATATATATATATATTCATTCTTCATCTTAGGTGATCTCAAGGAGGCACTTTTATAATTCCTTCAAAGTCCAAAACCAAAACAGAAGAAGAAGAAGAAGAAAATATTCTCTCTTTAATTTATCAGTAAGTGTTTTTCAATTATCTTCTTTAAATTTCTCCAAGTTCAAAGCTTTTGAGTAGTGTTATATATTTCTCTCCCTAATTGAATTTCTGGGTAGATTTCTTTAGGTGAGTTTGCTTTTATTTTTTATTTTTTATTTTTTTTGGTAATGTGGTGAGTTTGTTGCGAGAATTAGGGAGAACCTTTGCATTTGTTTGGATGAGTAATAGGAAGGCATTGCTAGATTCTCCACAAGTAATGAAAACAAAAACGACAAGTCGTTTTGATGGAAATATTAAATTCGTTTTTAATTTCACCCCTTTTTGTGGCACTAGAGAAATGAACCCTCTAGCTGACCTTCTTATGTAGGCTTACTCTCCTTTAGTTTAGCTAAAACATGAGATTTATCTAAACTTTCTCTCTTACTTACTGAGATATTTTCTCAGCAACCAAACAATTGGAATAGATTAAACAATTCCCCTACAGTTTCTTATTATTATGAAAAAGAATCATGTTGCTTGCATATAATGGCTCCCCATTATATACAACTTTTTCTGCTCTCTCTCTCTCTCTCTCTCTCTCTCTCTCTATCCACGTTCAACGGGGAGCCAACCATAAATCCCTTCTTCAAAAAGTGGCAGAATTCGAAATACCAAAATTACCCATTCTCTACACACAAACAATCACATTTAGCTCCGGAATTATTTCAAAACTCAGGGTCATAAATATGATCGGACCTTAAAGCTTAAAAAATGTTAAAAAGAGTTCAGCATATGATATTCGGGTATATAGAGGACACTTGAGTCTGAAGAAATTGCTGGAGCTCGCACGCATTCCAAGGCGCGCAACAAATCTGTGAAATTTGGTCATTTGGGTTTCTATTTGTCAATTTATTTAGTTAAAAAAAAGTGTGCATGTGGGCCCAATCCAACCAAAAGTGCTTCAGCTCAACTCGTCAAAAGATTCACACCTGAAAAAAAAGGCTGAACTCGCTATTGCGTGCAAGCTTATTATAGCTTCTTTCCTTGCAATTCATTCTAATCCTCAAAAACAGATCCAATAATATCTTTAATTTTGGAAATTCAGATATACTCTCATAAATCATAATATACGGTGTTATTACTGTGGCATGTGCGTTTTTATTGGTTTTATATTATTGTTGTGATTCATGTGAGATCATATATTTATATAACATATATTTTTTGTCCAGGTATATATATATATATATATGTATATATTGAAAAAGATGGGATTTTGGGCATAAACATGTAGAGATTGGTCGAAAGAAGAATGAAGAAGGTCCACCAACAACGAAGCAATAATGTGGCAAAGCACATTTAGCAATGTTGGTGGGTCTCAAATGATTGGATTTGGAGAAGAGTTTCTAATTTAAGGAATATTAATCTCTTTGGAAAAATTACAGTTAAAAAATGGAGAGCAGTAGAGAAAACAACAGCTATAATAATGATTATGAGAGACGAGTGATTTTCAAAGAAGATTCATGGTTTAGGCAATGGTTTAGTCAATTCAGAAATGGGTCAAATCCTTGGATGGCTAGATATGTTTACGCTCTCATGTTCTTGGTGGCAAACTTGCTGGCATGGGCTGCAAGGGATTATGGCAGAAGTGCCCTCACTGAGATGGAAAGTAAGTTTTAATTATTTCTCTTTTTTTTTCTCATTCCCCTTTTTTTTTTTTTTTTTTTGGAATTATTGTGCCTTTTGGTTGGTTATTTTAAACTTTTGCATTTTCTGTTTTAACACATTTTCTGTTTTGCTATGTTTGTGTTGGTTTGTAAGTTTTAGGATCATGACCTGACTGAAATAATGTACATTCATAGAAAAAGTTGAACTTAGTTGGGACAAAGAAAGCTCTGTTGATATTTCTATTATGCTTTTGCAATTTATTTAAAAATATAAAAATAAAAAATAAATAAGAGAAACCCCAAATGTGGTAACAGAATCTGCATTTGAATTCAGGATTAAAAGGATGTGAAGGTGGGAGAGACTGTTTGGGTGCTCAAGGCGTTTTGCGTGTGAGCTTGGGTTGCTTTGTATCCTTTTCAATAAGTTGAAATTGAAATCTAGTTATATATGTTCTATTTCATATTGCCCAGTTTTTCACACACAAATTTTATTTTATTTTTTATTTTATTTTTTTTTTATGGTGACATCTGCAATTTGCTCAAGTCAACCAACACTTGGTGGGCATGAACATGAAAACACAAAGAGACATATATTGTTCTTTTATCAACATTTTTATAATCTCTCAGATTTGATTTTACAGATGGTCATGTAAAATCATGAAAAAGACTACATATGTTCATGGGAAGTGATGGTCAACACTTTGCGGATATACTATGAATCTAATAGTAATAAGCCATACACTAATAATTGTACAATATTCAGTTTCTTTCCTTAATTGGATCAAAAAGTAAGCCTTAACATTCACCTTAGACATTCTATATCACTATGTTTTTAACAACAGTTGGTACATCAAAGTTGAGTGAGCGCAGAAATACATGGCAATCTGGATGGTGGTCTGTTAAAATTGTCCTCTGGGTTGTTTTCACAATCATTCCCTTCTTACTTCCTTCTACCATTATTCAGCTCTATGGTTAGTCTTATCTTGATTTCTTTCTTTTTTACCAAAATAAATAAATAAAATAATACATCCCAATATGGTCCTTGACGTTGTTTATTCATTTATTTTTTGACAGGGCAGATTGCACACTTTGGTGCCGGGTATCATTTAATCCTGAGAGTGATAACTTTATTCATGTCTAAAACATTTTGCTTTTCAATCTTGCTTATCCTTGTTTAAGGATTTTTATTATTTGGTTTCAGGGTATTTCTCCTAATTCAGCTTATAAGCGTAATCAGTTTCATTACATGGCTTAATGATTGTTGTCAGTCAGACAAGAATGCAGAAAGATGGTAAGTAAGACATAGTTCAAACATCTAACTCATAGTTCAAACATCTAGCTCGTTTTCTTTTCTGTTCTCCTCTAAACATAATTGATTTGCATTGTAAGGTTAAATTGGTGACAAATTTGTGATTTGCATTGTAAGGCTAAACCTCATTTTGTTATGTTGTCTTTTTGTTGCTAACTTAAGACAAGTTTATCTGTGATTTTTTTTCTATTTTTAATATGCTGAGTAATTTAGATTAAGATTTTTACTGCAGCCAAATACACGTGATGTTACTTGCGACGGTTGCGTACGTCGTATGCATAGTGGGGATCATCATGATGTACATTTGGTATGCACCCGAACCATCTTGTCTCCTCAACATTTTCTTCATTACATGGACACTTGTGCTGCTCCAACTTATGACCAGCGTTTCTCTCCACCCGAAAGTAAGCTTTTAGCCACCATTCTCTGCCTTCAAATAATTCATTCTTGCTCTAGTACAATTCGATATATAATTCCCGAATTTTCACCCATATTACAGGTGAATGCTGGCATCTTGACTCCAGGACTCATGGGTCTCTATGTGGTATTCATCTGCTGGTGTGCCATTAGAAGGCATGATTTCTTATCTTTCGACATTTTTTATTTCATGTTTTTGATAATTTACTTGGTATATCTACAAACAAATATGCACATGCCGTCACGTCGATATCTTCTTGCGCCTTGGCCTCCTAATGAAAATTGGTTGCCCACAAACTCTGAGACTTGAAAATAAAGCATTTGTTGCTGTTGTTGTGTTGTTTTTTTTTTGGTCTTATATATGTTTTGTGCCTTTTGTGGGGATGGAGAGATAGTTTAAAAGTACAAGAATTTTGGACCATATTTCTGTGGCTCATTGCTTACTTCTTGACTCAAATCAAAGTCAAGAAAGTTAAGAACAGCCCATGAGAGGATTTCTCACCTTTAACAACCTAAGATTTGCCTGCAACATTTCTTGGGCCATGTTTTGTAAAATGCCACCTTGTAAAGCTGAATCCTTTGAATAGAAGATATATGCCTGTTTTTTTTACACTATATTGAGCAGAGGAAAAAAAAAAGAAGAAGATTGTTGTAGAAAATATATTCACCTTGTCATATTCTCTCACATCATATATGATTTATTACTTTGATGTTGCAGTGAACCAGCTGGGGAAAATTGCATCAGGAAGGCAACAGTTCCAACTAAAACAGATTGGCTTACCATCATAGTAATGTTTGATTTCGTTTAACTTATTTGAAGAATTCAAGTGCCTACAATTTTCTTTGTTATCGAAATAACGAGTTTTAGTTAGCTTCTGCAACCGGATCCTCCAAGATGATCCGATTTTTCTAGATGTTAAAAAGACTAAACTATATTTCCTTTCCTTTTCTTCCTAAGATGACAATGACTCATTTTGTGGACAGAGCTTTATTATTGCCATACTTGCAATGGTCATAGCAACGTTTTCAACAGGAATAGATTCTCAGTGTTTCCAGGTAATTTGTTCTACCATCAGAATACTTCTTTTTAACTTATTTATCAACATTTCAACCAAAACTAAACCTGAGAACAACTGCAGTTCAGGAAAGGCGAAACGCGTTCAGAGGATGATGTTCCATATGGTTATGGCTTTTTCCATTTTGTTTTTGCTACCGGAGCTATGTATTTTGCCATGCTCTTGATTAGCTGGAATCCCCACCATACCATGAAAAGGTTAGCTCGTTTTGGTCCCTAAAATGGTTGCCACCAACAAACCTCATCCTTAAAAGTGATTAAAGCAAACCCTTTTCAAACAATGTTCTGTTCATAACTTTTATAATCATTCTGTCCAACTTTATGAATATCTCGCATTTAAAAAAGGTGAAATTATCACAAATTACCACAGATTTTTTTGACCATTAAGAGATCGACGTGTTAGACCCTGTCAGTCCTTGTGTTATAATCACTAAGTTTCAGAATTGACATGTGAATTTATGATTGACTAAAGTACGATAATAATCAATGGTACTGATGAGTAGTATTATTCAAACATCGTAGTCGAGAATGTGACACGTACCTGAAATTTTAAGTCATTTCCAATTTCCGACAGATGGACAATTGATGTGGGGTGGACAAGCACTTGGGTCAGAATAGTGAACGAATGGCTTGCCGTCTGTGTATATTGTAAGAACCTCTTCCTTCGAAAACTACAAATATTGCCATCATCAAACTATAATGTTTTCATTTCTCGAATAACAAACAAGACTTGATTTTTTGTCTTTCACTGACAATTATTAACTAAAAGAGAATTTGTTGTATTTTGTAGTATGGATGCTTGTGGCTCCTGTAATATGGAAGTGCAGACAAAACAGCTGAATCCGTATAAAGCCCAAAGGAATAAAAACTTGTCTTCTTTTTCTCCATTGCCTTGTTCATTTCTCTTCCACTTATGAATCCAACACGACCAAAATGTGTTATGATACGACTCGGGGACAAGAGCAACTCCTGACTTGTAATACTATCAGAAAGAAGATCTCCAGGCTTCAGCTGGGTCGTGACAAAAAGAGTTCAAAGAACAAGATTCATACACAAAATTATACGGTACTTGGAAGATGAATGTCGTCATTTGTATACATCAGTGAGAGAGCACATATCTTAGAGTACTAGATAGTCATTGAATTTTAAATGCTGATGATTAATGTATCTTTTTTTTTTTCATTGAAAAATTAAAGAAAAATGCGTTAGTTTCAAGGTTTGGTGTGAACATTCCACTGTTGGCTCGGTTACAATGATGATCAAAAATGTAATTTTGTCCTTAAAGTTGGATAATAACATTTCCATCATGGGGTCATCTGATCATTTTTTTTTTTTAACAAAAAATTTGAAATAAACTTAATTGCTTAAATTCATTTGAAATTTTCCAAATTATTTCAATATCAGGTTAATTTTGTGGAACTGTCCATTTCATTTGGTTTGCTAACACAATTTTCAGTTGGGATGATAAACTAATATCAAGTTAAACTTCTGAGATGAATTGATAAACTAACGGTTAATTCTTCTTCTAAAAGTTTTATAAGCTATTACGAAATGGACTAACAATAGCGCTTTTATTATACAGAAGAGAAAAAAGAAAAAAGAACTTTCGCATGGAGAATTATTTCCATACGCTTGTGAGAATTATGGCGGTCAACTTTAAGTCATCAATATTATAGACTTATCGACCACTTTATGTTTCCTGAAAATTTTGGACAGAGCAACATTAGCAAATGGTCTCTGAAAATAGTTAACTTATGACAGTAATTTTCAAAATTTAGAGGCAAAAGACATAGAGTCTGCTTGTACTTAAACTGTTAATTAACGCACACACGTAAATAATAATCCATAAATAATAAATTATTAGATAACAGTTATATGATTATTAATAAAGAGAATAAAAACAATACTACAAAACACCGGTGGAGTTAAGTACCGCTAATAGAATGTTGGTCCCATAATATGAGGCTCACATTTTAAGGGGTGGTGTTTTACACTAGTGGTGTCTTTAAGCATGTTTTTCAAAATTAATATTGCAAGCTTCCAAGATAATGTGACGGTTCAGTACTAGTTCTCCTATATATTTCCTTAACCTCTCAACGCTCAAAGTTTACACATAACAATCTCATCATAAATTTTGAAGTCCAATTTATGGTAGAGTAGTTCCATATCTTTTTCACTTGGCGAGTCCTTTTTCTACGACACTGTTTTTAATAAACTTCAGCGATTCAATAATATCGTCACATAACTGGTGGGGATCGGGAATAGTGTTCTCATCTACTGAGAGAACAACACTCATCTTGTTCATATAACTTTGCATGCTAACCATTAATTCCTGCAATTAACATACAATATACAATAGTTAACTGAAATAATTTAATAATTAGGTGCTAGGTGATTTAATTTGTAGTGAACGTTTAATATTTGTCACAAAATACGGCTAAATATTTGTGATTATAATGTATAGGGGTTTTTCTTTTTGTTTGTTTTTTGCTTCAAGATATATAGATTTGACATCACTAAAATTGAGACGTTTATAGGACATATATTAAAGGATAAATTTTATTTTTCTCCCCGAATTTTGGTATGTTTGTCATTTTGTCCCCCGATTTTTAAAAATTAGTTTGTACACCCCATAAACTTTAAAATGTTATTAACTTTGCCCCTTATGCTAACTTTATTAACGGATTTTATGATGTGTCAGTTAGTGGAGGTGTAGTTTGATGGATTATTTCATAAATGTCCGCTGAAGTATGTACCTTATTTAGAAATGTCACCTGATCTATAAAAACATATCAAAATACCCCTTAATCTACGTAGAACATAATAAAATAACAATTTTGTTGAAGCCATAAAAAATTAATTAGACATATTAAATTCTAATCAAATCAATGAAAGTGATTAAATATTTAAAAATAATAATAATAAAGATAATAATACTTTACCTCAGAAAAATTCAAAAATTAAATAAATCAACTTTTTTTTTCAAAAATAAAATACCCAAAAGAAGGAGGAAATTTTTTTGGAAAACCTACCTCTTTGCAATATTTATTTAATTTTGAAAAAATTTCCCATTTTCTTGTTTTGATTTTTGAAAATATTTAAAAAAATAGTTGATTTATTTAATTTTTATTTTTCTTTGAAGTTTAGTGTTTTTATATTTATTATCTTTTAATATTTAATCACTTTTTTTATTTAATTGGAATTTAATTTTTTAATTAATTTTTATTATGTTTTCTATAGATCAAGAGATTTTTAGATATGTTTTTAATAGATCAGGAGGCAATTTTAAATATGATACTTACTTAGGGGACGTTTATGAAAATAATATATTAAACAGAAGGGACAGAGTTAATAAAATTTTCAATGTTTAGGAGGCAACGTGACAAAGATATTAATATTCGGGGGGCAAAAGTAAAATTTATCCTAAACTAAATAAAGGAATAATTTTTGCGTAGCTTATCAACTTTATCGCTGAAAAATGACACAAAGCTGTAAGCTAGATCGTTGGTTATTAGGTTGGTGTAATGAAAGCAATAAATATTAGAAAAGAAACATTTTCAGGAAGTGAGAAAAAGAGATCTTTATTACTACTCACATTTGCTTGGCCGCCATAGGTAGTTGCAGCGAGGTAAGCCAATGGATGACCGTAAAAACCAATTTCCTCGAGTGGTCCAACTACATTGGGGAAGGCCAACGTCGTGCTGGTGAAAAGTCTTAGGAAAAGAGAGCTTGCTGGCTGTTATATATAAACAAATAATCACTAATCATTCGATTAGCTTAGTATATGCATATAATATATATATATATATATATATATAGATGGAGTAACGATTAAATACATCCCATATATACATGTAACTTGTATAAAATTCATAATTTTGAGATTGCTCCCCAACCTCTTCTCTTACTATCAATATATACTTCAATACTATTTTATGTTATCAATGGTTTTCCAAGTATTGTCATATGTGCATCCGTCTTTGAACTGTACTATATAAACACTATTAGAAAGAAGGGTAAAATTAGAGTTTTGCCCTTTTTAGAGACGATTGATATAACTATTTGCTCAAGATTTAAAGTCATCAAGAACATAATTTAACAACTGAAAAAGGGTAAATTAGGCAGATCAAGGGCTAGTAGTTATTTTGTTGCACGCATGTAGTTATTTTGCTTAAAAAGGTCTAGAGTATAGACTTCGAAACAAATAATAGTCAGTTTTATCTTCACTCACTTGACATATTTCGTGTAAGTTATGGTAAATAGTCAACTCAAAAAATGGAAACAAAAGTAGTAGTGTTTGGTGCGTACCTTGATGCCGAAAAACTTGAAGACGAATCCGGCGACGCCGGAACTGCAGAGAGCTTCAAGAGAATGCCTTTTCCGGTCACACATAGCCTTGGCTTCACGAATGTCGTCCAACGGATCGTCTCTTAAGCCAATGCTCAAAGGAAGGATGACAAAACCAAGCCAATTTCCCCACTTTGCTTTTGTATTCTTCTCCATCATATCAGCTAAAGCCTTTTATATTATATCATGTATATGTGTGTGTATATATATATGTATATAAACATATGAAAATGTGTATGAATTTAAATATATGAAATTAATTTAATCTGTAATCTGATCTAGAGAGTAAATTAATTACTGCCACATGAGATAAAAAAAAAATTACCTGAATTCCTGGTGATGGCCTGATGTTGATAAACAAAATTGATCTTACGCGAATTTTCACAGGGAGATTATTTTTCTTCCCCGTAATTCCTTTCTCAATATTCTTGCTCTCAAAGCCTAGGGAAAACAATATTACAAGGAAATGCAAGCTGGCTTAGACTATTTCATATTATTGGAAAAATATATTTTTTCGAAAACTTTCTTTATATAAGATGCTGCCTTTGGTTTTGGAAATCTTTCAAACTTACTCCTGAAATATTACTTAAAAGATAATTTATTATCTATCCAAGTTTTTATTTTTATTTTTTTTAAATAAAAAAATCACAAATAAAGTAAAAAAATTAAGAACAAATTGAGTCATCTGTAAAAAATATAAATCACCAGCTTACCATATCTTCTATTAAGATATCTAGATAAACCAGCTTGTGTGACTCCCAAAGCAACATCATTTATAGTCTGCAGGAGAACATACATCTTTAATTAAGATAAATAATTAGCTTATTTTACTGTGTGAAATTTATAAGGTGTCAAGTAGAAACAAAGCACACCCCATTAGTACTTTATATTATATAAAAAAAATGGGGGCATAACATTTTTATGGCAAACTTTTGGAAGATATTGAAATTTGTATATGTTGTACCGTGTTCATTGAAAACTTTGCGTCGTGGATTATTCTCACTAGTGCTTGTGATAGGACCTTTAATAGGGGTTTCGCTGTCTTTGACAAGAACCAAAGCTGTCGCTATAAACATCAAAACATCAACAATGCTATTCCAAAACAACTTGAAGTTCCACCAAAGCCCAAAGAAGAACTTTGACAACATTCCATTGATATTGCAAATAGTATTTTTATTATGATTCTTACGTTTGGTAAGAGGATTCATACCATAATTTGAATCATGGTTTATAGTTCGTTATAATATTTTCTCTCACAAGCGAGAAAAAGTGACATAAGAGATATGCCATCACCAAGAGAGTGATGAATCCTAAATATTCCCACACTTTCAGCCATGGAAGTGTTGACATTGAGAATATGGAGGTCCCAAAGAGGCATCGACTTGTCTATGCTGGTTTTGGAAAGGTTAAGGATGTAGTCTTCAACAAATTTGTCAGCTGTCTCCACATTATAAATAGCTAGGTCCACCTTAGGAATTATAATGTGCTTGTCCAAATCCACAGAATTTGTTTTGACCCATTTCTCATCTTTCCGCCACTTTGCTCATCCACAACCTGTGAGTTGGTTTTGGAAATGAATTATCAAAAAGTTTGTCTCCAACAAAACGAAATAATAATAATAATAAAAAAAGAGTCAAATTCATTTGAGGTCTCCGGACGACTTCTCTCTCTAAAGATGATTGCTATGAAATCTATCAAGTGTCTCAAATTTAGCCGTTTAGTAATTTTTTATTAAATTTTTGAACGGAGTGTCAAAATGTTAGTAGATATAAATTATTAAACATTGAACATGAGTACAGGGATTTGAGGAACGAATTTAGGATTTTTTTTGTTTTGTTTTTTTTTGTTTTTTTTTTTGCAGCAATTATTCTTGTTTGAGTTCATTTTTAGATGAAATTATAAGATTGCCCATCAGATATAAAAAAGTTTTGTAATTAAATGTTAGAGTGTACCAATATAGGTAATATATAAAAAAGTATTTTTAAGTATTTTCGAGAGAAAAAAAACGTATTTAAATAATCATGTTTTTGTCATATTTATGACGTTATTCTACGTCTAAAACTGAAAATTCAACGTCTCATTGGAAAATATAAGTGAAAGATATCATAAAAATTACCAAATACTGGCCCGGCTAACTTTTTAAGATACATGATGGATGAGATTAGCAAACAACTAGTATCAAATATATTTAAGGAAAATTAGTGCATCCCAATTAAGTTGACATGTATTAACTATATCCCACATCAAGCTCCTCGATAATAATATAAGAAAATCAAATCAAATACAAAGTTTATATATCCAAAATTAAAACCGCCAAAGAGACATAAAAGGTATAAGAACCCTAGCACAAAGCTAAAAAAAAAAAAAAAAAAAAAAAAAAAAAAAAAAAT